CATTGGGGAAAACTTGGCTGGTCCTTCGACAAGTGGCCAGAAGACACATCTGCCTGTGAGCAGCACTGTGGCTCGTCTGGTTGAGAAAGCAGAAGATACACAAGCTGTGAGGAAGATGGAGAGCAACAAGAACCCGAGAGCCACGTGGACAGGGACGTAAAAGGGTACCAGGGAAGGCAGTGTTTTCGTCAAAGGTCAACAAACAACTACCCTTTGGTATCGTCTGGCGCAAACTCTGCCCACTCCCCCAAAGAAGGAAACACAGGGTCTCACGGGAACACATGTGTGCCCATGCTCAGGGCAGCACACATCCCAACATCCAAGGGACAGGGACAGCCCAAGCCACCCGTGACAATGCATAAAGTCATGTGTCACAGACTTAAAATGGAATAGGAGTTAGCCTTAAAAGGCCAGGGATCGCATCACATGCCACACACACGGCTGAAGCTTGAGGACCTTGCGTTGTGTGACCTGAGACCAGGCGCATGAAGTAACTCATGAAGGCAGAAAGCAAGACGGTGCTTGCCAGCGGCTTAGGGATAGGGAATTGCTATTTAGTGAGTATAGAGATGGAAAGTTCTGGAGACCCAGAACATAACCCTGTGATTAACCTTGCTGAGCTGTGTGCTTCGAAACTGGTTAGGACAGTAGATTCCACATTGCATGAAGTATTATTATACCCCAATCTGAAAACTGCCCATACCTGCCCAACCGACCACCATGTTTCAAAATGTGATTCCATCTCTTGGACCTGGGTTTGCTTGTCCATAAGAGATCGGCAAAGCTCCTGTGGTTGTTGGGCATAAGGACCAAGAAGATTCATGGAAAGGGCTTAGCGCTTGGGACTGGACACAAGGCAACATCTGTCACATGGAATCACAGTGATCATTACAGAAAGCCTTTACCACAGGCTCGTGAACCCTGAGCTTTCAAATCCCCAAGGCTGGCCATCGGTGACTTTCACTCAAGAAGGGCAGGCAAGGGGAGGGGGTGTCTAAGCTGCTCAACGTTATCTGTGATGCCAATGTTGTGATGCTTCCATGTCACTGTTCTCTCCCCTCACAGGAGGGTGAAGGACACAGGAATGTGTGTGTGTGTGTGTGGACGGGGTGGAGTGGAGACTGGGAGGATACTAAGATCCCCAACTGCGCTGAGCATCAAGACAAGGATGCCCAGGGGCAAGGACAGATGGGGCGGGGGTTGCTATAGATCAGGTCCCTGGCCCTGGTCCCAGTATATTAACACCGTCCCCAAGGAAAGCATCCCTCTCACCAGCCACTCATGTCCGAGCGACTCCTCTCCTACACTGTATCAGGGCCAATCTGTAGAAGCAATAGAAACCAACAGAAAGAAGGGCATAGGACACCCAGGACTAGGTTATCAAATCATTGTGGCTACTGTCTCTGTGTCTACATCTCTTACTCTAGGGGAAGCTAATGGCTACTATTCCCAAATGCTGATTCCTAAGGCAGAACGTGAGCCATGCCCATGAGCTTTCCTGGATGCAGACCTTCCAGTCCAGCCAAGTTTCAGATGAGGGCAGAAGACCCTACAATGACAACCTCCTTAAAGAGACTCACCAGCCTCGACTAAGCTGCTTAGGATCTGTTAAAAATTATTATAAACCATGTGATGTCTCCATACGTGCATAGGCTGTGTAATGTTCATGCCTGGAGAAAACATACTTATCTCCTCAAATATTTATTATTTCTTTATATTGATCCTTTCTCACAGCTTTTTAAGAAGAGAGAACGTAGTTGAACCCTTCCAACTAAAATACTCCTAATTCCAGAACCTGACATTTCGGGAAGTTAATACTTAAACCTGCAGAAGCCACAAGGAACACATGGGAAGCTAATTAAATGAGCCCCATTTCAAAATGGTGTCTTTCCAACAAAATATGGGATACAGGAAGCTTGCTGACAAATCTCTTTCTTTCTCCTCCTTTCTTTTTCTTTTCTTTTCTTTTTTTTTTTTTTAAGAGAGAAAGATCTTTCATCTGCTGGTTCATTTCCCAAGTGGCTGCAATGGCACTTTTATTGGATGCTAGTAAGGCAGGCTGTGGCTTTACCTGCTACGCCACAGCACCATTTCTGGTCTGTGCTTTTGGTTTTGGTGCACTACAGCCAGGCCTCCGAAAGCACTTGAACCACACATGCATTAAATAATAATAACAATAATAATAGTAGTGACTTGTCTCCACACAAACACAACACAGGCAGGGATGGAGCTCACAGGGCAGGTGTCTGCTCCAGCTTCAGAGATGCACACATGGAAACCAAGTGCTCGGTGAGGCAGCACTGCCCAGGCAACAAGAATATGCATGGAAGCAATGTGCAGCACTGGTTGGGAAAGCCCAATCATGAGGGACCATGAGGGGAGAGGACGGGGCCATGGCCCACTGTCCCTGGCACCAGCTGGCTCAGCTGACAGCCCGGGTGTCACTGTGGAAAGGTTTTCAGATGCATTTGTCACAGCCCAGAGAAGAATCAGCCCACCAGGTGACAGTGACGATCTGCTATGCAGCTGAATGCTGACGAGGTGTCATAAAGAGCCGTAGCACTCAGCCAAGACACGCAAGCAAGGCAGCTTTGATTCTGGACTCCAGCGTCTGACACGGCCATTCTGCTCTGCAGTTTTTACATTAAAATCTTACTCCAAGAGGTGGGGATGGAGGGCGTGCACTGCTCATAATGATTAGGAAACTACCACCACCACATCGTGCATGCGTTGGTAGACACAGAAATGAGACAGCAGTGGATCGAGACTTCCAAATGCACCAACGGACATGCTGAAAGGGACCGAGGATGCACCATAGAAAAATCCGACCAGAAAGCCTTGTTCAAGGCTCTGTGAAAGAACGCAAGAGGCACACAGAGAACAGACACAAATGAATAAAAGCGAAGTCTCAGGGGCAGGTCAAGAAAGAATACAAACCAAGGCACAGAAAACGAACAAGTCCAAGGTCAAAATTTCTACACTGCCAGACTTCTTTCAAAGGCCGTGCAGATAAAGAGAATTCATGCTTCATTTACACGGCATCTGAAATCAGTGGCTTCCCATCTCTCCTATCTCAGAATCACCTGCAGAAATTTTTATCTAAAATAATCATTTTATGGGCCCGGCGCAGTGGCGCAAGTGGTTAAGGTCCTCGCCTTGCACGCCGGGATCCCATATGGGCACCGGTTCTAATCCCGGCAGCCCCGCTTCCCTTCCAGCTTCCTGCCTGTGGCCCGGGAAAGCAGTCGAGGACGGCCCAAAGCTTTGGGACCCTGCACCCGTGTGGGAGACCCGGAAGAGGCTCCTGGCTTTGGATCGGCATAGTATCGGCCCGTTGCGCTCACTTGGGGAGTGAATCATCGGACGGAAGATCTTCCTCTCTGTCTCTCCTCTCTGTATATCCGCCTTTCCAATGAAAAAATAATAAAAATAAATCTTTAAAAAAATAAAATAATCATTTTATTTATTTGGTTTATTCTCAGATACTAAGAGGGAGATACAAGCTGTGAGGGAGGGAAGGGGAGAGAGAGAAAGAGTGAGAGCGTAAGCGAGAAATCAATTGCACATGCTGGCTCACTTCCCACCTGCCTACAATAGCCAGGGTCAGACCAGGCCAAAGCGGTCAAGAGCTTCATTTGACCTGCTCCATCTTCTTATGCTTTCCCAGCCATGTTGGCAGGGAGCAGGATTGTAAGCAGAGCAGCCAGGACTTGAGCTGGCACCCATATGGGAGGCCCACATTCCAGGCAGCGGCTCAATGCCTTACACCACAATGCTGGTCCCAGGTTTTCTATTTTTGTTTTAATATTCATATTCTTTGGTTCTGTTCTCAGAATGCTCAATCAGGAAGTCTGTAGATTCTATGAATATGCATTCTGAAAAGGACTGTAATCCATTTGCTGATTCACACCCACCCCCTCGCCCACATGCGAGTATCAAGGGTTAAACCAGGGCACATCCAGGAACCAGTAACCAACCAAATCAAGGTGTGCCATGTGGGAAATGGGGACCCAGTGATGGAGCCATGGCTGCTGTCTACAGCGTGCATATGAGTCAGCAGAGGCAGAAGCAGAGCAGTGGGCCTCAAACCCAGGCAAGCCGGCACCAAAGCCCAGCACTGCGCAGCTGTGCCACACAGCCCATCGTGGTTTCTTCAAACGCCTAATTCTAACGCATACATAGGCTGGCGAGGTCCATATGCTCATGTAACCATGGCAGCAGAGCTTCAACCTGCTAGTGAGGAACACACCTTCCTTGACAGCAGCCAGTCCTATCCAGGCTGCCCTGCAAGAGTAGTAACCTTAAAACTAGGCCCTTAACAGTGGGATGAGAAAGACTCAGGGGGCAAAAACGCTAACGTGTGTTCCTAACGGAAGGCGACCTATCTTGCTGTGCCACCTCCTCTTTCCTGCCAGTGGGAATGTGGATGACACGGCCACAGCACTGACCATCCCGCACCACACACTGGAGGTGGGAATGTCAGCCAAAGGTAAAGAAATGGGCGAACTCACACGGCGTCGCAATAAAAGCAAGCAGCACCCTTCTAAAAGGAATGAAGTGGTACAGAACTATAAACGTTCAAATTATCACTTCAGAGGAATCTCAGATCCTTGGTCTTAAATTATAGATACGGTTCCTACAGTAAAAGGAAAATGAAGCCCAAGGGTACCATCCACCAAAGCCCCAAGTCCAAGTATGCCACGGACAGCTGATGATCTGCATATCCGGTCCTGTGGTAGCCAGGTGGGCGCAGACACTTTGCACATATCAAAATGACCCAGAAATCATACGTTCTAGCTAACAGATGGAAAAACTGAGGCTCGGCAAGGCTAAATGATGTGCCAGGCCATGTAGCCAGCAGCAGTCTCAAGGCAGAGTCACACCTAGGGCTGAGTCAAGGTGCCAGCTCATGGCAGGCAGCTGGCTGTATTTCCTGGAGGTGTGTTTGCTGGCGGTGATGACGGCCTGGGCTCTGTAGGGCTGCCCCCAGCCTTCTTTACCTCACATTTCTCCACGACCGGCTGCTGCCCACACTCGGAGCTGTTGCCCGCCACGATGCCAGCCCGAAGGTTCTCGCTGTCCCCAGTCCCCTCCTCCATAGAGTAGGTCTTGGAGTGGTTGCCACGGCGATGGGCTGGGGCCCGGCCCTGGGCCAGGCTGAGCTGTCGGCGAAGGGCTCGATTCTCCTCCTCCACCTCACGCATGCGCACCTCCAGGCTTTCACGTTCCCGCTGGCTGGAGGCTGTGTACCTGGGGCTGTGCGCCTGGGACTCCAGCGGGGACAGAGACACCGGCTTGCCATCTGCAGGAGGAAAAGACCGAAGGAGAGTTACTTGGGTGAGGCACGGTCCTCCAGGCAGTCAGAGCTGCAGAGCCAGCCTCCTCTTACATCTCATGTTTCAGCGAAAGCAGATGGAATGGGACTCACAAAGAAAGGCATCCAGATTGAACCAGGAACAAAGTTGCAAGCAGAATGACTTATTATGGCAATCAAAACTAATATGCTATTTAGAGAAGACAATCATAATATAATTGTTTCTAATTAAGTGCACTGTCTTCCTTGCCCGCCTGCCATGATCCTAGGTAGACATTCTTAGCAATAAAACATGATGGATATGAAGGGAGGAGAGGAGTAGGAGCAAGAGAACAAAAGAGGAAGTCAGGGAGTAATAAAAGAAGAAAAATAGCCTTGACTTAGTTTATCACATCCTTCCTAAGTGAACTCCTATTCACCCTTCAGAACCCTGTTTGAAAGCATCCCTTCCTGGAGGGAAGTCTTCATTTGTAGGTAAAATAACTTTCAGCAAAATTCAACAGTCACTTGCTTATAATATCATGCTAATTTGGAAAACTGTTTTGTTAGTTCTGTAACAATGAAGACTACAAAGGGGGAGGGGTTTTACAGAGACCGGCAGAGAGAGAGAGAGAGAGACTGATTTTCTACTTGCTGGGTCACTCTCCAGATGGCCACAGCAGGCGGGGCTGGGCCAGGCACAAAGCCAGGAGTCAGGAATCCCATTAGGGTCCCCACACGGGTGACGGGGATCCAAATACATGTGTCCTGGCTCTGGCTACTTTTTCCAGGATATTAGCAGGGAGCTGAATTGCAAGTGGAGCAGCCAGGGCACAAATCGGTGCCCACAGGGTATAGGCCATGGCTTGACCCAACTATGCCAAAATGCCAGCCATTAAAGTTGAAATCTTGATTGTTCTTGTGGTTGGGCAGAATGTAATGCAGGACAGAGATGAGCACATCAGGGCTAGGAACAGAACTGCTAAGAGCTACACAAACAAAGACGGTGAGAACACGGCCAGTCTCTCGGCTTTCCGAGAGGATCTGTTACCACTAAAGGAACACTGGTCATGAATGCTCCTTGGAGGACCAACCAACCCCATGATGGAAAGGCGAGCACAGGGAGGGGATGCAGGCCTCGCAACATCACACAGCCACCACAGTGGTTGCTGGAACACGCACGCCCATCTCCTTTGCACGCTCCACTTCACCTTAATGAAGTAAAACCCAGTCTCCCAAGGACACTTATTCTGCAGCCTTGTACACAGGAGGCGCTGAATGCACACCGAGGAACACCAGCAACGCCAGACATGCCTGAAGCTCAAACTTTTGCCTGTTCCTCCTCTGCATGGAAATCCTGGCATCCCACTGGATCTGTTGTTGTCTCAGAGGCCAATAGCAAGAAAAATGACATCTCTAGGAAATCACCCTTTTGGTGGCTTCTACAAAAAGGAAAAGGAAAAAAAAAAACAACTCTATCCTATTTTTTCCATATTCTGAATTTATTTTCTTCCCACCCAGATCCCACTGAGCTTCAAAACTATTCCAGAGAGGATCAAAGACCGTGAGGAATCAGACAGTGCAGGTTTCACCCACTCAGCGCCCACCTCTGTCAGGACTTCCTGGTGGGCTTCCAAGCCCTCTTCACCACCTTAGGGTTAAACAGGGTTAAAAAGCTGAGCTCCTGGTCCTCACCCATCAGTACACCCAATAGGAGGCATGAATTCAACTGCATAGAACAGGCATCATAGCAAGGCAGTGGCAGGATCTGTGCGGAGTGTGAAATTGCAGATTGATGAGGGTCGCACTGTCCCCGAGCTAGCCGATAACAACCTCTGAGCAAGCTTTTTTGAAATTTGCCTCTCTGGTACAACCAAGTTAGTTCTGCTAAGAATGAAAAAGGACACACAGCTATTACCAACTGCACTTGTTCAAGCAACACTGATCCTGGAGCAAATAGTTTTCATCGAAAAGTGCAGAGTTCTGCTTCATGTTAACACCTCACCCTGTTGGATGGTTCATGCCAATGACACCTTTATTTATGGTCTCAGTGCCAGGCAACAGCTTTCCACTTCCCGATGGGGCAGCTGAGACTGTCACGGGGAACCTGCCCTCTGAGTCTGCTGTGACCCAATTGAAAACTATTTGAAACAGACTTGTGTGGCTCTATGCTTGGTCATGTTCCTGCACATATGCTGTGAATTAGAGCACTGAGGCTCTGGGGCTTAGTGGAGGATTCTTTCTCAGGAAAGGATTAAGGAGCTTCTGGAAGGAAACCCAGGAAGCTTGACAAACCCACGAGGGTCCCAGGGGCTGTGGATAATGGAGAGCAATGGGGCGCAGGCATTTGTCGGGAAGTGTTACAGAAATGCTCTCTGTGAAAGGGGGAGCATGATACATGCTAACCCATGAACAGTCACAGGAGGGCCTGGCATGAAGGCTCAGTGGTTAAAGTCCTCACCTTGCATGTGCCAGGATACCATATGGGCGCTGGCTCATGTCCTGGCTGCTCCACTTACCATTCAGCCCCTGCTTGTGACCTGGGAAAACAGTAGAGGATGACCCAAAACCTTGACCCTGGATCAATGTGGGCGACCTAGAAGAGTTTGCGCTCTGGCCCTTGCAGGCACATGGGGAGTCAAACAGCAGATGAAAGATCTTTCTATCTGACTCTCCTTCTCTGGAAATCAGCCTTTCCAATAAAAATAAATATTTTTTTAAAAAGCAGGGGGAAATAGTAGGAGAGTAAAGAAGGAAACCAAAATACAAAGTATGGGGCCTTTCCTGGGGTAGCATTTGGTGTACAGGAGACTATACAACCCCTTCCTCATGGGTGGTGACATCCTGGTAAGCTTGAGTTGACACGTGATTCAACCTATCCAAGGGTGTAAATTTCCCACAAGGCTATCTGTGAGTGGTGTGTGAGAGCCAGTGGCCAGGAAACCCTTGCTTTCCTTTGAAACGTGGCATCTCTGATTCCCTGGTCTTCAGATGGACTCCACATCTCTAACTGGGCTAACTGAAACCAACGCTGCCTGATCAGCAGTTAATGCAATGGGGGGCCCTGTCCTCTTACCATACTCATTCTTCAGATTCTTCAGTTTGGCTCTACACCTCCTGACCCTTGCTTTGGCTTCGGGACTGTTCATGTCTCTCTTCTGTCTGATGAGTAGAATGGATGCTCAGTCGCTTACATGTGGTGTGCACTTTCCTGTTGAGAATTACCAGCTCTGGTCTAGTGACCGAGACCCTTGTTTACATACAGGTCATCAACACAAAGCTCATCAGGCCTCTGTAAATTGTGCTCACATCAGTAAAAAAAAATCAGGTTTTGCCCTCAATTTGACCTGGAAAAAATTGGGCCTGGATGCACAAGGCTAATAGAGAGCCTGTCTCATGCATAATGCATCATTTGGATTCAACGATGTCATCTGTAACTTATGCTTCAGGACACATCTGTTGATCGCAAGCTTGGTGCTTCTACGAAACCACCCACTCTGGATGCTTGAACGCCAAGCTTCTCCCATATCACCTTGCAGGCCAGTAACACTCTGGTGAGTGGTATGCACCAAGGTGAACGGACCACGGAGTTCCCAGACGCTAATCCGCATCTTCAGTGATGACACAGGCATTCAGTCGGTAAAGTTGAGAACAGCATGTGGCCTTTCCCAAGGTGGGCAAACTTTACCGAAACAAATAATGGCCTGGATAGAAGGAAAAGGCTGACCTTCCACCACATCGGGATTTCCCCATCATGTCTGCCTGCCCTTAAGCTAGCACATAAGCCCTTTCACATGTTTGACCTCCAACTGACGACAGGCAGCTCTTACTGGGTTCCCAGTTTGCCAGCATTACCAGGAGGACCACGTCCTTGCCACTCCCTCCACCAATCCTATAAGAGGCCTACTTCCATCACCATGTAAGATAACTCATAATACACAGTAAATGTAAATTAAATAACAGGTGCATGACAATACAGGTGCCCCCTCAATGATACTTCCCACAGACCATCGCACAGTGAAAGTACCGAAGGCACACTTGCTACAACTGACCTGTGGAACCTCGCAGCTCAGCAACACTGTACACTGCACAGGACTGGGTGTTTCCTCTTTCCCTTCCACTGTGCTAACTGGGAACCATGGCTAGCTGCTGCCACTAACAAAATGTCATGAAAGAGGACTGTTTCACATCTTGTCAGTCTGGGAAAGGATCAAAATTAGAAATTCAAAGTAGGGTGTATCACATTTGTACCAATGCAAAGGCTGAAAATCCTAAATGGAGCCATGATACACACAAACAGGGACTAACAAGTCTTGAGATTCGATTCTGAGTGACACTCTGTTACCCAGTGTCATGATCCGCTGCCTCTGGCACAACTCCAGTATGTAAGAAGTACTTGTAAACAGGATAGAGGGAAGGAGGGACAATCTAGAACTAGAAATAAGTAAAACGTAAGTCAACCGCTATCAGTTAGTAAAACATAATAACAACAGGTTATTGTTATGATGTCTGAGGAGGAGGTCACGGAGAAATAGCAGCAAACCAAGCCATGCAGTTAGGGCAGGTGTTCAGAACTTGAAGGAGCTTGGAAAAGAACTCTATGTCTCCATGTGGAAAATGGGGATGTGTGTGTGTGTGTGCGTGCGTGCTGGCACACACCATTTCATAGCAGATATTCCAATGCTCTGCCTTTCCAGCTCTGCCCATGCTGTGGGCAGGCAGCACACAGGCACCAAGGGGTACAGCCTCCTGACTTTCCTTCTCTATCCCTTTGCCCTGGGTTCTCATCATGTTTAGCTGCATGCAGTCTATTTCTAGACAAGCTACAATGACTAGCACATAGTGTGTCTGCATGGATCTGGAGCCCAGCACACAGAGTTTAAAATGTCAAATAAGACTTTACTCAAAACCTTTGCTGACAGCACCCTGCTCCTCCCTCCGCAACTGCTCCGCAAACATGAATTTATCATTAAATTGAGATGAATGTCCTGAATTAAGAATCAAAATAT